GGGAGAGGCAGGAGTCCAATTAGAAAGCATTAAGTGATTAAGACAGGCTTTCATAAAAAATTTTGGGGTAAAAGATAGCAATGGCATAAAATGATAGACTGAAAAAAAACCCAGACTCCTAAAATGAAAAAGCAAATGTGTTTTAAAATTTTAATATATTTAGAGAGAAGCAGAAGAAGCCAGGGATGGACGCAGCTAAGGCGAGTTCCACATTTCAGGGACTAAGAGACAAATACCACCGGTAGGGGCCTTTAGGAAGCTGGCCTTGGCAGGGAGAGGGAAGAATACTCCTCTGATGTACGTAGAAGGGAACAGGGCATAAGAACGTCCCTCTCTTTTAAATAACAGTAGATATGAAAGCAGCAAGAGTCTACAGCTGAAGTTTGTAGACTCCACATAGAAATAAAGGTAGAATGTGGACTACTTGGAAGTTTTACCAGCCGGATATAAAAAGATGTTCACATTACAGTGGAATAGTAGATCCAAGTCTAAGAAATAGCTCCAATGTTAGCAAAATAGCAAAATTTGTACAGTCATGTGCTGCATAACAGTGTTTCCATTAACAACAGATTACATATATGACAGTGGTGCCGTTAGATTATAATGGAGATGGAAATTCCACTGCCTAGTGACACTAGCCCTCATTATACTATAGTGCAAGGTATTGCTCACGTTTGTGGTGATGTTGCTATAATAAATCTACTGTTACCAGTCACATAAAAGTATAGCACATGCAATAACAGGATGCCCCTATGATGCAAATTTTGGAATGCTCAAGTTGTCCCAGAGGTTTCTTACACTATCCTTGTTTTTTTTTTGGACTCTTTTTTCATCTTTCATCTTGTTGTTCTGATTGGTTGCTTTTTGCTTCCTCATGTTACAAATCATTGATTTGATTCTCAGCTTCATCCACTCTACTGTTCTTTTGCTGTAAAGTGTTCTTTATTTCAATTCGTGTGTCCTTTGTTTCTGACTGGATCTTTTTTATGTTGTTGAGGTGCTCACTATGGTCCTTGAATACCCTTATAAGCAGTATTTTGAACTCTGCATCTGATTGCTTATCTCCATGTTTGTCTCCTCGTTTTGGCAGCCTCCCTGTGTTTGCTTCTATATATTAGGTAGAGCTGCTTTGAAGCCAGGTCTTGGTAGTGTGGCCTAATGTAGTAGGTGTCCTGTAGGGTCGAGTGGCCCTGCCTCCGCTATTACCCAAGCTGGGGTACTTGAGGTGCGCCCTTCATGCGGGATGAGTACACCCTCCTCTTGTAGTTGAGCCTTGATTGCTCTTGGCAGGTCAATGGGAGGGATTTACCAAGGCCAGTCAGCTGCAATGACTGGCTGTAGCTGCCCACTGGGTACACAGGCTCAGGGGCTTCTGGGGTGGTGAAGGTCAAGGTCAGCTTCACCTGTGTTTTGCCCAGTGCCACCCTGTGAGAGCTATAAAGCAATCTGAGATGGCTGCTGCTTGTGTTGAGTCTGGAGATCACCAGGCAAAGCCAAGCTGTGAATCTAGGCTGGCTGCTGCTAATGGTAGGCCTGGGGCTCACTGAGGCCAGCTGTGACTTGTTTGAAAGGATTTAGGAAGTTGTGAAGCATGAACCAAGACCAACCATTCATAGAGAAAAGCAGCTTGGGCGGGCCTGTAAATTGGGTGGGGCAGTGTCTCTGGGATCTCCAAGGTGGGGCAACAGTGTTAGCCAGATTGATGGTGTCTCTGAAATGGCACCAGCTTGCGGGTCTGTGACTCTTTGGGCGGAGGGTTCACAAAAGAGACAATGGCCTCTGCTCACCTTGATGTCAGACACTTCAGTTTCTCCCTGTATGCCACTGGTGCCTTTCAAGCTGCCACCCCAGTGCTGGAGCTCAGAGGGAATGAGTCTGAATAGGTGCGTCTATGTATAGATTCTTTAAAACTGCTTGGGGCTCCAGCAGTTTCTTCCACCGACTCAATCCCTGCTTGTTTTTGCAGCCAGAAGTTGTGGGGACTTATCTTCCTGGCACCGGAACTGTGGTCTGGAGGCCTGGTGTGGTTCTGAGACTCCTTGCTCCCAAGATAGCCTTCCAGAATTTTTATCCACCACATGTGTGTGTAGGACCAGCTTATTCCTCATCTGCACCGCTACTACAAGTCTGGATGGATATGGTGTCTTTAATTCTGTACTTGTCAGACTTCCATTCAGCTGGATTTCTGATGGTTCTGAGTGATGGTTCTATATTTTAGTTGTAATTTTGATGTGGTTGTGAGAGGAGGTGAGCCATGTCTGCCTATGCCACCATCTTGACCAGATATAAGAACTGAGTTTATTCTTTCTTATTAAAAAGAAGGTTGCTGTAAATAGTGTGTCGTGTTATGCCAGCAGTAGCCTCAGTTGGTGTTTACATCTCCCAATTGCATCATCTTAGCTTGTGCTTGATTTAATCTTATGTTTTGTGTAGTAACATGCTGTACAGGTTTGTAGCCCATGAGCAATAGGCCATACCATACAGCCCAGGTGTGGTACAGGCTATACCATCTCGGTCTGTTTAACTGCACTCTGTGATGTTTGCACAAAGAAAAAAACCTCCTAATGCATTTCGCAGAACATACCACCTGTCATTAAGTGGCATGTGACTATATAGCATGTAAGTGATATTTTAAGAACTAAAAATACCTGAATGTCTGAATATAAAGCTTCTACAGTCTCTATTTGTTTAAAAAATACAATTAATTTTTGTAGGTTAAGCTTATAACCAAACAATCTTCAATATCTTGATTTGGTATCTCAAAGCTAAATATTCATAAGAAGAAATGTGTAAGAATAATCATTATACATAAATCTTTTACATTTCAGACTCAAGAAAAAATGTTGTACATTTTTTCTTACCACAGAAGGCATTACCATAAAATTCAGGTCAATAAGATGGAAGTATGGCAAGAAATGTCACATTACAGTGGAGTGCTGTGTCTCAGGAAACTATTAATTAGAAGGTAAACAGGTGCATGTTTTATGATGCTTGCTAAATGTAAATGCCAAAACTTAAATTGAGACTATATGAAAGAAGATCATAAATACTGCTGCTAATCTATTTCCCCCAAAGTATGGGGCTGACTGTTGGTATTATCAAAATACTTCTTTTTGATGCCTGGCAGCAACAGGTCCCTGCAGAAATCCTACCAGTAGTTTCTAGAAGATAAAAGAAAAGTTACCTGTGCCAAAATGCTCAGGCTACGTCAGGGAGAGTTCCGCGGTGCCCTTTCTATTGTGGGCTAGCTGGACTGCCCATGTATAAGTAACTTTATAGGCTCCAAACACAAAGAGCAACAGCCTCATGACTGAGTTGTATTTACCTGGGGACCCAGGTCCCAAACTGAAATTATCCTAGGCACGCAAAACAAGACATTAAGAATGGACAGAAAAAACTGTACTCATGAAGGTCCAGCCACTATATTTGCCCACCATATGTATTTACTGAATCCACAAAAATGCAACTTTGTCGATGAAATTTCTGTAGGTGGAAAGTAGCACTACTGGAAATTGAATTCTGAAGGCCAAGTCTGAAGACTGAAGGTTTTTTATGGTGAGATTAGAGCCGAAGTAGTGCACTGTCAGTTACAGGCTGAGTAGAGAAACAAGCAGAGACCAAGAGGGGAGAAGGGAACAAGGAGAGCAGGAAGGTTTGGTGAAGGTCAAGGCTAGGTACAGAGACAATGAGGGATTAAGATACGGAAAGATGAAAGTTGGCAGCCAAAGAAACTTCGAAGTTTGAGATCTCACAAGTAACACTTCCTGCGAAGCAATTTAAGGGCAAGGTTGTATATACAGAATTAGAAGAGAGAATCTTGAAGTAGGGCAACTTAAGACATATTAACACAGGGGAGGAAGGAAGCCACAGAGGCTGCGCAGCGATAAACCAGCAAGTTGGCTAACAACTGGCTGCACAGGAGCCGGAGGCAGATGTTATAAAACCCGGCAGCAGGATTTTGTAGCCAAACTCACAAAGGAAGGAAGAAAAAATAAGGGAAGCAAGGTGATCCTGATTTTTTCTTTCAATAAAGTATTTCAAAAACCAGACACTGATTTTTCTTTCAAAAAATATTTACCTTGTTTACAATAATGGGGAAGGCAGGATTAAGACGAAAAACTGCTTTATCTTGACCTTATTTAATGCGTTTAGACTTTATACAGTGTTTAAAAGTGTCCCACATCAGCAACAAAGAATTCAGATGGCTTTCTGGTCCTTCCCCTGACCAGGCTAACTTAGGCTGAAATCCCTGGAAAGTGCACACTTTCTCCTCGACTATCACAAATCATGTATAAAGACAGCAACTGGGATCAAACTCTATGAATGTGGGATGGCCACCAAAACATGATCATATACTGGGCCTCACATCACCAACCAACACAAACACCTAATCTATAAAAAAATCCCTATGAGTAAAAAGAAATGTTAAAAGGTTTTGTGATTTTCAAGGTTTTTTAAGCACACTTGTCAATATCTATCTAGCTAGGTGTACAGCTTATATATACTTTAGAAGCAAGGAAAGCTAGTTCATATGTGAGCTGAACAAACATATCATCACACACTAACGGCATGTCAGAACATGCTATTAACTTCTACTTTCAAAAGCACTATTAATTGTCAGCAGCACTTGAGGAAACACAACATAAATCAAAGAACTTCCTAGAGAAAAAGGGACTGTGGAAGTCAGGTGATGCAATTGATAGATTAGAAAACTAAGGAGCAAAGAGGTTAAATGCCTCAGCTAAAGGCCACGTAGCTGGTCAGTGGCCAAGCTGGGATAAGAACACCACACCCCTTCAACCCTCTCACACCCGCCCTTCGCCCTGCTCTCCCCGCCACCCCCCAGCCCAGGAGACCAGTGTCTGATAGAGCGGGGTTGAATGTCCACATAAAGTGCTCTTTTTGGAATGTAAAATGAGAAGACAGAATCTAAAAAATAAGAATGAGCAGAAATTAAGAAAAATATTTGCTTAATATAAAATGTTAATTTAAAACTATACCTTTACTGCTTCTGATGAAAGTACATTTTCCTTTTTCTGACTTGTACTCATGGGCTCATTTTCAACACTGAAAAATAAAAACCACAGTTTCTTTTGAAATTAAAAGTGAATTACTAAAATCAGACAGTTTCTGTGTTTAAAGCAAAAATTGAAAGGTCCTTTATCTGCAGTTCTCAAAGGATTCATATATGAATTGTTATACTAAAAATATGTTGATTTGAATCTCTACACTTGAAAAAATACATTCATAAATGCTCATTTAGAAAAGGTAAAAGAATTGAGATGTACAAATAGCCAATTATAAAAACAGTCACAGGGATGTAAAGTACAGCATAGGTAATACAGTCAATACTACTGTAACAACTATGTATGGTACCAGATGGGTGCTAGACTTACTGGGGAGATCACCTCATAAGTTACATAAATGTCTAACCAGTATGTTGTATACCTGAAACTAATATAATATTGCATGTCAACTGTAATTGAAATTTTTAAAAAAATGCTCATCTGGGCTTCAGAAATTTTTGTGAGTCCATTGTGTGTTATGTTTTCTTATGCTGATCATCAGCATCACAGTAATGAGCACCAGTGTACAAATAACCATCATAATCTTGGAAAGGACTAGCATGCTTTGCCTTTATTTCTATTAAGGTTCTCCACAGCCTGCTTTAAAAAAAAAATGCCTATGCTGAGTGTTATCTGGAGTGTATTTCTACTCAGCAAATTTTTATGAACATATTGGGTCACCTAGCAAGTTCGGGGAATACTCAAAATAGATGCAGGCTTATCTAGCCCCAAATGTGTCCCAGGTGGCACCCTAAGAATCTGATTTTCCAGATAGTCGATTTTAATTGTTTTGTTTGGAATACCTCCACAGATGCCCTTTCAGATGGCATAATAAACTAACATTTATATCTCTGTAAGTTATCTTGTTTTCAGATTTTCGTAATCCCAGGCAAATTAAGTAGCTCCACTCCAAGAGTATCATGACTGTCTTGATATGCCGGGAATTGTGTTTGGCCTCCAGGATATAAAGAACAAGTAGGTCAGGGGCTTTGTAAAACTAAGCCTAGCAGGAAAGGCTGACACACAAACTAACAATACAGTTTGATACAAGCTTGAACTGCTAAATGAACAAAATGCTATGGAGGCAAGGAGGAATCAAGAAACAGCAATGTGGCCTGCTCAATGGAATGTCCACAGAGGAGATGCAAAGGCAGGGAATAACAGAAAACATGGCATTTTTGGAAAGCCATGTTTTGTTTGTTCTTAACGTAAAGTTGGCGCATAGGAACTTGTGACGCAGAGGGAACCATGCTAGAGATGAGACTGAGACCAGAGGTTAGTGGATGCTAGATCATGAAGAACCTGCCTGACCTGTTACAAAATCTGACCTTTGTCCTACAAGCACTCAGGCAGAGGACAAGCACGCAGCAGGAGGATGACAGAATGTGGAAAAACATAGGGAATCGTAGGGACTGGCAGTAGAGGGAATGTGGAGGAGGTGGTACCAGCTCAGATTCAGGTAAAGGCCACACAAACCAGATGGGAAGAAAGAGAGGACACAATTTATGCTACTGAGATTTTTCCATCCAAAAAATCCAGTTCAATTACTCAGAGTCAAGGAACAAATGGTAATGATCAAAAAACAAAGAAAAGATAGAAAGATCATGAACACCTGGAAACTATAATAATAGATTAACTTTTATTACGTGTCAGACTCTATGCAGGAAGAGATGGACTAATAAGAGCCAGTCATGCTCTTACACCTTTTAAATGTCAGTAAGAGAAGCAAGCATGTAAACAAGATAAAGATATGAACTGTGAGTTTAACATAAGGAAATTCTTCAGGAAAAACCAGAGACAAATGTAGAAAATAAAATAATATTGTACAATACAGAATTATGACCTATATACGTATGAATATCTATAGAATAAGAATGTCTCAAATAGTTATTTTTAAAGTAAGTTGGTTCTTATCTTTTTTTCTATTTCATTAGCCTTATCTTTTGCAATAGTTGTTTACAATTCAGTTTTTTCTTTTTAACTAAATGTCAATTAATACTGGCCTACTTAAGCTCCAATTAAAAAGAGAGAGCTTGGCAAAATACATGTAAAAAGAGCATGTTATAGGGATTTTGGGAATAATTAAGAATGATACGGACCTTGATGATATTGTAAGTGTATTGTCTAACTACAATCTATTTTCAATGACATACCTAAAATCTACCTATACATACAACAAGTATTTAATTTTAGTCTCCTAGTACTTGCTTCAGATTTCTGAAATTCTATTTATTTAGTATTTACAGGGCTTTCTATTAACTTACTGCCTTAGTGAGATTATAAATGAAACGGTAAACGTTTCTTTCCAACACAAATGCTCTGCAGAAAATGTAGCTCTGGGACCATGGGATTAAGACAGAACTCAGTATTTTCAAGTAGCTGTAATTACTTCCCCGCTAAGAATACAAACCAAATACCAGAAAAACACTTCTGTAAGTCGGCACAGAAGTTACTCTGTATTAAGCCAACAGTTGAGAATTCAAAGCTGAAATCACCAAAAGAAGTTAATACCAGACACTTCATAAAACTTTCTGAAACTTATATCCTCTGTTTAAGTTTCATGAATCTTACTGCTAAACCAAAATTTCAAAATGTGTTGTTTTAAAGCTAACGACACATTTTAAAATTTTGGTTTGGCTATAAAAAAGCATTGCTTCAACTGAAGCTTTCCCCACGTCTCCTCTAGATGATAAGAGTCCCTTCTAAACTGGTCTCTCGCATGTTCCAATTGCTCTGCTTCCACCCATTCTTCTTGGGTTAATCTGATCATGACACATTGCTATTCAAAAATCCTTCAGCAACTCTCAGTTAATGAATAAAATGAAGAGTCTTTAGCATAGATATAGTTATTCATGACGTGGTTCAGAGAACCCCTTCCCATTCTTAGAATATGCCAAGTTCACATGCCAGCAAATCACTTTTTTATTCTGCCTGCAACGATTTGCCCCCACCCTGTCCAACTCTTAATCCTATACCACCTAGTTCTCCTTTACTTTTCTTGTCTCCCACTGCGTCTCATAAATACATTTCTGCTCTTTAACACAATGGTTGGTTGTCCATTTGTCTAACTAGAATTTGCACCCACTAAAAAAACTATACTATTTATGTCTCTGTCTTAGAGCCTAGCCTTGAGCCTGGCACTGTGAATGCACGCAAGTATCATTTCCTAAAAGAATAAAAACATAATTGGTATCAAACAGGTTCTCCACTTCTGCCTGCTTACTTTACCAGAAACACTTCCATCGGAAACAATGTAATTGTACACGATACTCTTTTTTTCTTAATGAAGTGTTAAGAGTGTGTGTGTCTGTGTGTGTAAACGTGTCTCTTGAAGAAATGTACCACTCACTCTCATTCTGCATCATCTTTCTCTAAAGGTGTGGGAGTGGGGCTGGGGGAAGAAAATTACTCAACAGGAACAAGGTAATTTTCAGTTGGTTTAAAAACAAAACATCCAAAAATTAGAATAGATAAAGATACTTAAAAACAACGGATGCTTAGATGTCTGCTTGGTACAAACAAACAAACAAACAAACAAAAACAAGCGACTTAAAAGGTTTGGAGTGGTACTCTCGGACTCTTAAAAATACAAGGAAAAGAGAAACACTTAGATTCCGATAATCTCAAACCACATGAAAGACGACAAGGCGTTCCTATTGTTCTCACAATTTAACCCCCTTTTGGACCTGGGAATACTTCAATAGCAGTATTTTTAGAAAGCACACATTTTACTCAAAGCAGGGTGTGAGAGGCAGGATTCATAACCACACGTAGGCACAAAAAAGACTACCTAGCAGTTTTTAAAAATAGCTCCGTCTTACTTAGCTAACAGAACTTTGGAAATTAATCTTTCAAAATAACCTAGATAAATATCAAGGTCAAAATAACACCAAAGCTCCTCAGTTTGGAAGCAACCTTATTTATAACATAACTGAAAGCCAGGAATCCAACACACAGTCATTAAGTATCTATCTACTTCATGCCACACACAAAATAAACCTGTCGGCCATGAAAAAAATGAGCACATGATCATTCTAGATGCCAAATAATTTACATAGAGGAGAACCCTTATCTTGTCACTTAAGATATCTTATATTATTATTTTTTTTATTAAATTCTAACAAGATTCCCTAACCCATAGCAGATAAGAAGAAGAAAATGGCACGAGTATGTATGGTCTCACTCACTCAACAGGTACCTACTGCATACATTTTAGGTGCCAGGCACTGTTCTTGGTGCTATTGGTGGAGCAGTGAACATACCAGATAAAGTCCATGCCCTCACTCCTTCAGAATCCCCATCTAGATGCCCAGTCACCTGGGCAATTGTGTTTATAAAACAGATTTCTGGGCCCAGTTGGCATTGATTGTCAAGAACGTCAGCTGGTGTCAGGCCGAGGAATCCACATTTTATTTCTTTTTAAAATCCTCATGTGAGGATATGTTTATTGATTTTTAGAGAGGAAGGGAAGGAAGGAGGGAGAGGGAGGGATGGGAAAGGGGGTGTGTGTGGAGAGAGAGAAACACTGATCAGTTGCCTTCTGCACAAGCTCTGACCAGGGATGGAACCTGTGCCCTGACTCGGGATCAAACCCGCAACCGTTTCAGTGTACAGAGCGACGCTCCAACCAAGCCACCTGGCCAGGGTAGGAATCCACATTTTCAACAACGGACTCCCCCTTCCCTGGGTTGCTCTGACACAGGTGGCCCTCTGACCACATTTTTTACAATGGTTCTAGAGCATTCTATATTAAGCTAAAACCAACAAGTAAGAATTGTATAGGGAAGAGAAGAGTCTGATCAGAAGGCTCTCCACTTAATATTTAAATGTATTAAGTGCTGATACTTAAAGAGTAGATACCAATTATTTTAAAAACTCACTCCTGTGAAAGATTACCCATTTTCCAACACTGACATCTGTCAGAGCTCCTGTCCCCAGCAGAGAGCTGCTGCCCTAATGAGCATGTTGAGCATCGCGAGTATGGCGTGATACCAACAGGAA